TTTGTATTTACTTTAAGGGAAAGTCTTGTTAGAATAGTGTTATTTAATATGTATTAAATCTTGATAATATCCCAAGGTCCTTTACTCTTGGGATATAATTCCAACACAATGAAAACTTTTGTGTTTGTCAGTCTTCAACTGATATTATCTACTTAATTTAAACATGCAAATAAGTACATTAAGAAAATTAGGATGCAATACTTATTTCACTTAAAAGCAGTATAAAATACTGAGTGAGATGTCAAACCCAATTCAAAATTGGCTTGTTCATACTGAACATCTAAATGATCATATTTCAATAATACTAAAAGGGCCAGCTTTACACAAACAAAACAAAAACTCCACGATGTTTTATACACTAAAACACAGGATGAATAATAAAAATATTTTAAGCTCTAAAATCTTTAATCAGTACTTTAAGGTAGTTTAAATACTTTTATTAATTAAACTACAACGTAAGAACTTCAAATCTGAACTTAAATTTCTGTAAATAATTATTGGGTAGGAAAAAACATATTCATGTTTTCTGTAATCTCTTTAAATAACAATAGAATTCTCTGAAATTAAAGTTCTGACATAACATAAATAATGTGAACTGTATAATGGAACAATTTCAAAATAACACAAAAGTAATTGTTTTTTTGTGGGTATTTCATATTTTCACTGCAGAAGAGTCAGATCTTTGAATTTTAAAAAGATTTTTGCCTAACAGTGAACATTTAAGGCCAACTCTAACATTAAACAAGTTAACCTATTGAGTTAATTATTTCCTAAGTCATTCAAAATTTGACATGCTTTTTATTCTAAATTCTTGAAGTGTGATGAAAGTGCTAGGAGAAAGGTGAACTAGTGATGTGTGATGGAGACAGGAAGAATTAAGTTCCCCTCTTACAAAAAAGTTCAAATTAATTTTACATCCAATGAACTGAAAAACAGTTCCTCCTTCTTCATGGTTGCACTCCTGGGTCTGTTACCTAGACCAGGAAGAGCTACTAAGACAAACAAACTGGAAGTTTGAGTTACAAAAATGCTCCCTGACATTTGTTAATCCACCGGATAAACATTTTTTGAGCACTTACTATTTGATTTCACTCGTTTCATCAGTTCTGACAATAATCCTGGAAAGTACAAATTCATATTATTCTAATAATATTATATATGAGGATCTGTAAAGTTAAATAGCTTGTCTAACATCAGGGGCCAGTAGTGAAGACAAGATAGGAATTCGTTTTCTGACCCTCAACTAGTGGAGTCTTCTAAAAATTTCTACACCATCAGATGATGTGGATTCAAGTCCTATCTCTACCTCTTTCTGGCTATTGGACTTTGGTGAATCACTTAGCTTTCTAATACCTTCATCTAGAAAATGGTGAAATAGGAGTATCTCACTAAACTACTGTGAGAATTAAATGATATAACATATATGAAAATGCTTTAGAAATTATTAAAGTATTTTTGCATATTACTATTTCATGCCATGCCCTGTGTGATATTAACGAAAATGTTTTATATTACATATTGATTATTTTTAGTCATAGTTTTCTAGCAACTGAACTGTTATCTGGTTGTATGTTAGAAATTTTAGAAGGATATTTTTGTAGTCTACTGAAAGTTAGGTGGCATCAGAGAAATCTAACAGATTCTGGCTACAGATCTAACTTTCTCAATTACTGAAAAGTAAGTTAATTATTGGCAAAATCCTACTCATTTAAAATTTTCATTTTGACCATGTAGTACATGAATATAGTTCAAATTCAAAAGATACCAAAGGGTAGTTAGTGGAAAGTCTCCTTATCTTGTCTTCTAGCTTCTCAGATCCCCTCCCCAGTCAATGGATGCTATATTAGTTTTCTGTGTATTCTTCCAAAGGCATAAGGCATATTTATTCTATCCTGCAACTTTTTACATAAATGGTAGCATCTTATACACATTTCTTCACCTTGCTCTTTTCCACTTAACAGCATTTTAATAAATAAAGACTTGATTGTTTTTTAACAACTGCATAGTATTCCATGGTGTAGATTAAATTAAATGTGATCCATCTTATTAAAGAACATTTAGACTATCTTTTTCAAAGCTGCAAGGAATAATCTATAGTCAATATTTTATAGGTATGTCAATATATCTACACTAATAAAAGAGAAACATGCAAATTGGTCATCACTCTGCTATGCCCACCAGCCAATCAGGGTGAGTATGCAAATTAACCCAACAAAGATGGCAGTGGCCATGGAGCTGGAGCAAGCAGGAGGCTTGGGTTGCCCCTGGCGATGGAGGAAGCCAAGCTTCCCACCTGCCCTGGACACTGCTGAAGGAGTGGCTGGGGGCCTGGGTCGCTGGGGGGGCGTGGCCGGCCTGAAAACAGCCCTCAGCCCCTTACTCAGGCTGGCCAGGCACACCAGCGGGACCCCCCACCCTGAAGGGGGTATGGCCAGCCTGAAAATGGCCCTCAGCCCCTCACCCAGGCTGGCCACACCCCTCCAGTGGGGACCCTCACCCCATGGAGGCATGGCTAGCCTGCAAACCACCACAGGCCCCTCGCCCAGGCCGTCCCACACCCCAAGGCAACCCCCACCCTGATCCAGGACACCCTTCAGGGCAAACCAGCCGGCCCCCACCCGTGCACCAGGCCTCTATATTAATAAAAGGGTAATATGCTAATTAGACTGGGAGACCTTCCAGGAGACCTTCTGGACATTCTTCTGGACAAAGCCATGGTGGCGGGGCCGAGGTAGAGGCAATTAGAGGCCAAGAGGGGAGGGTAGTTGTGGGTGATCAGGCCAGGATGGGATGGCAGTTGTGGGTGATCAGGCTGGTGGGGGAGGGGCTGTTGGGGGTGATCAGGCTGGCGGGGGCTGGGGGCACAGTTGGGGGTGAGCAGACCAGCAGGGGGGTCAGTTGGGGGCAAGCAGGCCGCCAGTGGGGGTCAGTTGGGGGTGATCAGGACTGCGGGGGGGGGGGGCAGTTTGGAGTGAGCAGGCCAGCAGGGGGGCAGTTGGGGGCAAGCAGGCCATCGAGGGGGGCAGTTGGGGGTGGGGTGATCAGGCTGGCGGGGGGGCATTTGGGGGCGAGCAGGCCGGCAGCGGGGGGCAGTTGGGGATGAGCATGCCAGCAGGCAGAGTGGTTAGGGGCAATCAGGAAGGCAGGAAGGTGAGCAGTTAGGAGCCAGCAGTCCCGGATTGTGAGAGGGATGTCTGACTGCCGGTTTAGGCCCGATCCCTGTAAACCAGCAGTAGGACCTCCTTCGAGGGGTCCCAGATTGGAGAGGGTGCAGGCTGGGCTGAGGGACCCTCCCCACCCCCCTCCCCCATACACGAATTTCGTGCACTGGGCCACTAGTCTATGATAATATCCTAGAAGTGGATTGCTGGGTCAAAGTTATAATGACTTACAAGAGGCAACCATTGCCACACCTACTTGCAAAAGCAAATTTCAAGGTTTTTCCCAAGGAAAAGTGCCACATTTATTACAATAATTGGGCATTTCTTAACAGGTCTAACATGTCTAAAACTGTCCCTACCATTTTTATTAAGTTCCCACCTTTCTTTATGAGTTTTTTTATTGCCCAAGTTTGCATAGTGCAGAGATTTTTAGGACTGCATATGTCATATTATAGCAGGAATCAGATGTCTCCCCCAAATACACTATTATCAGAAACAAAATTCAAAGCTGGATAAATCACCAAATAAAACCAATAAGGTTTAACCGGTTTCCACTGTTTAAATTTTTCAAACTAAAATGCTAAAAGAAATCAATGCCATTTGGGATATTGTGGTAACAATATGGGGAAAAGTTTTCAATAATTACACTTTTTTTTTTCTAGAGGTGTTATGAACACTAGATGGTTCAGAAGGGGGAACAAACAGTATTCATTTCAAAAACAAAAAGTCAGTAATTTATGGAGCCTCGATACCCATCAGGCATCCTCTGCTCCAGGTGGGCTGTTCCCTCTCAAATCCCACAAAAATGCCATGTTCATTTCAGTTTCTATGGTTTCATTCATTGCCTTAGAATGAGGTGTTTTTCCCTTTTCCCAGTCTCCCCAAATCTCATACTCCTAATCCAAGTCCTTCATAGATTATCCCTCCTCCAACTCATTCTTCAGTGGTCTCCCACCCCTCAGTTCCTACAGTACTTACTGTCTGATTTACACAATTCTAGCCTCACATTGTTTGCTCATTTCATTCTTGTCCCGTGAACAAGGGACAGGGAGAGAAGCATGGCTGACACTTCAGAATCCACACACATGTACAAAAAAAAAAAAAAAGAATACACATAGAGCTTGCACCACATGGCACGGAGAAATAAGAGCTCAAGAATTTTTGCCACTGGGTGATAAACAGGACAAAATTATGCACACCAAGGAACTTTCTAGTTTTATTAATTATGACTCAAGCATTTCTTTTTTTCCCCCCAACCATTTCTGGAACAAATCATCTCAATGCCTTTCAAGAAGCTAAAATTTTAATTTAGCTATGCTGAAAATATATATGGCTGCTGAGGAGGTAAAATCCTGTAAAACTTGCACTCAGGTGTCATATCACAAAAGAGGCTAAATAAGAAATGGCAGTTATGACACTAAACATTTTTAGATTGTGGACTCCAATTCTACATTATAATACATAAGGAAGCAATTTTATCTGTCGAATTTTTATCACAGTGACAAATTATCCCTGAGGAGTGGTTTTCAAAGATTACCTCTGGTAGCAGAAACCCCTTTTCAAATGAAAGGCTAAGGAATTCTACCATATGGAAAAATGCAGAGCTGATCTTGCTAAAGCAGAGGGAGGGGCCTGTAGTTCTGCCAGCCTGGATCTCCCTTAAGTGCTTACAACTCCTTCCCTCTCTCCAGTCCCCAACTGCAGTGGGCCCTTAATGCATTTCCGAGAACAATACAAGCTGAGAAACACTCATGAAATAATCAGCTAGACGCCATGAATAGAAAAATACATTAATTTAAAATATTTTTCAAATCACTAAAATATAAAATTAAAACTTACCCATTTCTACTGAAAACTCTTAGCCATGCTTTGAGGTTTGGTCCTAACAAACACAAACAAGGTACTGTAGTAAAAGTAGACAAGATCACTGCAAATAAAAATGTTTCCAACACCAGCCTAGGAAAAAGAAACTTCATTAATTTTTAAAAAAGTATTAAAGGAGCACATATGTACACATACATAATCTTTGTTACTTAAATAGATTTAATATAATAATATTTTCTTGCACTTTCCTTTGAAAGGTAACATGAGTCCTACCAAAATGATGACTCTAAAAAATGTAAGCTATAAAAAATAATCTACCAAATATCTGGCTTTAATTGTAGAGTTCAGAAGTATTAAAAACCCTATGATCCATTCTGTCCAAAGCAAGAAACCTCATTTCCAGATAATTAACTTTCTTCCTCAATAGTCTCTGGAACTTTCTCTGCAATGGTTCAATTTTAGCTTATATCAGAGCCACTTAAAAAGCTGGATAAACTTAGAGATTAGAGGACCACACCTCTAGAATTTCTGACTGAGGCCTGAGAATTTGCATTTAAGTAAAATGCTGATGCTGGTATAGAATCACACTTTGCACACCACTGCTCTAGACATTCATTCTACTCTAAAATGGATTAGATAGAAATATCCATTTACCATTACAAAGGTCTTGTCCTCCCTTCTCTAGAAAAGAATCATCTGTTAATTTAATATGTATATGTAACAAGCTATGTATAAATATATATAACTGTGTACATAGCTATGTATTTGTGTATATACATAAATCACTCATTTCACCATGATCATTAATCACTGCTAAAGTTTCCCAAATTCTAATGTAAGAAATATTCATGAATTTTCACTAATTTAAAATTGGTCAGTTTTGAAAAAGTATTGAGTTAAATTTTACCTTTAAACCATAAGCATTAACTTATTAAGTATTTAAATACTGGAATCTATTGGCTTTTCTTAAGAAAACAAACTTTTTTAAAGCACTTCAGAATCACATTTACTAAGAACTGATATGCTAATACTACCTAAGTTATCCATTTCACTATTGGGTCACACACTTATTGGTATAGTAGAGTTTCTCATCTACCTTCCACTCCCCACATGCAATTGTGTAATAGAAGGCTAGGTAATAAGAGCAGTTGATGAATTTAGTTATTCCTGCTAAGGAAGGGCAATGATGTCAGTATCCTTCCTTGATCCAATAATAAAACACACCACAGTCTCTCTAATCATCAACAGAATTAGCCCTTTGTATAGCAAAAAAGTGTTTTAAAATATAATTGGCGTAAGGTAGAAATTTCAGACTTACTCTATTAATGGTGCTCCATATAGAACAAAAATTACATGAAAGACGAAACAAGACATAAGAAAGTAGAAACAGCATTTCAAAAATCTGGTTACCTTAAAAAAGAAAAAAAGAGTAATTTAAAGACTCAAGAGAATGCCTAAAGGACAGTACATGTTTCCATTTTATTTACAAACATAACTTATTCCCATGTGTGAACAGTTGAATGTTCTTTGGATTTGGGTATCCTGAAGTCAGATGACATCTTATCCACAGTCAGGTAGGTACACAGCCCTCAGTAGAGCTCCCCCTGCCAATATTCTACCCACCCAACTAGCACTATAGTCAAAAAGCATTTCTGTTTCTATGGTATGTATTGAGCTATGCTGTTAACCAGTATCTATGAACTATTTACCAATAACAGACTGCTAGGATACAATACAAATAGCCCTTATTATTATGAAATATTTGCTATATTATTCGCGAAGATACAATTAATGCCCAACAAGGCTCTATCGAGTGCTGTGGGCAGCCTTCCAGCAACTAACATTCTCTTTAGTCACTGTAAATAACTCAAGTGAGTACTGGAATAATGCTTTATTTTTCCATAAAAAAACAACAACCACTACCTCTATCTAAAAATCAGTTATCAAGAAATGAGCCTTACCTTGTATGATAATGAACTTCTTTTACTGGATGCATTTGGTTTTACCACTACATATAATACTAGATTGACGGCAGTTACAAAAACAGAACAGATGCACAACCACATCAAGTGAGTTTCCAATACTGAGAAGTTCTCCAAGAAGAATGATGGAATGAAGATGCTTAGGATAATTGAGAATATGCATAAAAGATGGGTATACAGTAGTCTCTTGATATCAGCATTTTTCATGGTGTTTCCTTGAGTGGCTGTCTAATAAAAAACAAATTAAGAAGATCATATGCAATAATGACTTTTTCCATTGTTCTAAATGTTCCAACACCTAAGAATAATTATGAGCCAAAGTCAATTTTCTAAGTATTAGTTTCAGAATATAGGAAAATGCATATGCGTGTATGCACATGAAGACTAATATAGTAAACAGCTCTCATAGTTAAGAAGGACAAATTTTCTAATTTCTTAGATATGTGTGACTGGTTTCTGCAAAAGGGTCATGTGCTAAGACCAATTAAGTGATTCCTTTTCCTTTTTTTTTTTCTTTTTTTTTGGCAAAATCAGAGGTGAGAACAAACTGCATGGAGTAATGATCTGCCCTGTTGGAAATATAACCTATGCATTCTAGAAACTCCACGAATACACTTTGGCTAAATTGTTGGCATTTTTTACCATTGTGGATCCTTGCCTAATATCATAGTAGTTCACATCTTCTAACAAATGCCCAGCGATACCAAGTGCATACTTGAATACTCAAACGGTGACTAGTGTAATCAAGAGTTCAAAAAACATTATGCTAAACTAAGGGATCCTAGCGCTCCAGAAATACCAAAATGACAATGTTAGTTACAGGTGTTAAATCCCAATAAAAAGTAGAACACAAATGGAAGGAGGAAAATAATTTACTCTTTCTATCTCTCTCTCTCACACACACTCACACACGCACCTTTATGAATTACCTAGCAAGAGAGCTTATACATAGCACAATTGTTAAATAAGGTCCTTATTAATTTAATAATAAATTAATTTCTAATAATTAAATTTCTAATAATTAAATTTCTATCTCTCTCTCACACACACACTCACACACACACACACACACACCTTTATGAATTACCTAGCAGAGAGCTTATACATAGCACAATTGTTAAATAAGGTCCTTATTAATTTAAAGTAGTAGTCCCTATGTAACTCTGGTTATTTCAGTATATTTTATACACACACAGAAGAGGGGACGCCCACTAGCACAAAAGGGCAAGCCCATGACTTACGCAACAACTCTCCATTAATTCGCACTATAATTCTCAAAGGTAAATATCTTAATGATAAGGAAATAGGCTAAAACAGGTTAGAGGACACGCGTAGATCCCAAGCTTCCACGTGCTAAGCCATTTCAAATAAAGACACACACCAGGGATCGGACCGAGAACAGTATGAATGGCAAGAAGGGAGAAAGGAAAAATGTCCCAGAGGTCCAACCTCAGGGGCGGAAGCAGATCAGCAATGCACTGTCTCAACAGGCATCCCTTCGCACACTTCCTTCTGGGCCATTCTCAGAATCCCAGCTGGCATGAGAGGCTTTGGATGTAACACAGGGAGCAATACCTCAACTCAAATGCTTCCTGAATCAATGATGAGTGAATGAATGAATGAATGAATGAATGAATGAATGAACGAGGGGCCAAACAAAGGAGAGTGGGTCAAGTGTTAGGCCCTCTTGAGGGACCAGCCCTGTGTGAGGCCCTGAGAGCGAGCGTAGGCCACCCATCAGGCGCCCCTAAGGAGGCTACAGCCCTGGCGTCCGCGGTCACACCTGGCCCGGGTCAGCAGACATTGCGGGGGGAGAGAAGGCCGTTCTGAGAGCGGCTCCCGGAGACTTCGCGGGAACCGCCTGGCCCCACCGTGAACGGGGTCGCTTAGGACTCAGACCAAACCTCGGCCGGCCGGAGTGCGGGCAGCGGGGCCGAGCTGAGGGGCATAATCAAAAAGCACAGGTGTGGAGACCAGGGGAGACGGAGAGGCAGCCACAGCACGTCAGGCGGCGTCAGAGCAGCCCCTGGGTTACGCGGGAAGGGTGGCGCGGGCGGGCCGGGGGCACAGAGGCTCGCGGGCATCTGGGCAGTTGGCAGGGTTGCTTGCACCCCCCGGAGGCCCGCGTGCCGGACCGTTCGGCTGGGCTTACCTAACTCTCCCGCCCGCCGAAGGGAAGGGGCAGCTACCACCTCCCACCATCAGGTGCGACACTTCGCGCAGGCGCAGGCCTAGGGGGCGGAAACCCTGGGCCGCACAGCCAATCGCGGAAGTGGAGGGGCGGGCAAAGGAAGCAGTCCCGCCTTCCCTCTGAAGTTTATTCCTCCCTTGGCTTTCCAGGTGTCGGAAAGGCCGGCGGAGGGCGGAGAGCCCGGAAGTGGGTTGTGGTAACCCGGAAGGGGTGTCCTTCCCGGGCGTGTATTGTTGTTTTCAAGCTGCTCCGGCTACTGCGACTAAGGGAACAGTCGCGGAAGGATGGTGTGCGAAAAATGTGAGTTAAGGGGTCGCTCTTGCGGGAGAAGGAAGGTAGGAGAATCTAACCGGAGTTCCCCGGGAACTTTGCCCCTTTTCTTTTGGTTCCGCCATTGATCTCTGGTTCTAATCTCTGTCCTCCTGCCCTGACCTTTGATTATTCCTGCCTCACCCCAACGATCATATTGTCCTATATGTTTTGCCTTCCGGATGGTCTCAGTTTTTGTACCTCTTTGTCTATTTGCGTTGCTTCCTCTCAACCCAGAATATCATCCCATACAGCTTCTTGACGGGCTCCCTCACCCCACAGACCCTCAAGGCTGGAATGAATTTACTTCAGATCTCACTCATATGTGGGATATAATGAACAACATAAACTCCTGAACAAAAATAGATCCAGACACTAAGAAACACTGAACAGACAGTCCAACCTCAGAGAGAAGTCAGGGGAGGGAGGGTGGGTAAGAGATCAACCGAAGGACTTGTATGCATGCATATTAGCATAACCAATGGACACAGACACTGGGGCGGAGGGGGCTGGTCCCCCGGGAGGGGGGAGAGAAGGAGGGGCGGGGGTCAATCGGGGGAAAAGGAGACATAGGTAATACTTCAAACAATAAAAATAAGAAAGTAAGGAAGAAGGGAGCACTGACTTGAATACACGTTAACACAGTTAATTTTACAGGTGGTGATTCTACAGTGCATTAATTTTAATGCATTTTTCAAAATTTTGCATCAGAGGTAATCATGAAATGTGTAAATAATCTTCTCAAGTATCTTATCGAATTATTTTGTAGAATCACTTTCTGTGCTTTAAATTATGTGTACAAATATCAGTAGTTCAGATAGTCCTGGACATAGTTTTGATATTACTAGTAGTAAATAACCATACCACTTTAAAAATTAAAAACATTTCTGACAATATTCATTGTACCTGCTACTTTAGACAATTTAGTGAAAACATATCCATTTTAATTGTGGTGAATGCAATGTGTGAGTTCAGAGAAATGAGATGTCTTACTTTTTATATTACCTTGTCAACTAGAGGTAGGGCAATAAGGCATGATGGATTTAGATTTGAGGTATAAGAACTGGAATCTAACAGGAATCAGTTGTGGTCTGGAAGCAAAATTCAACAGTGAGGGTGTTTCCCCTTTAGACAATAACCAACAACCATGAAAAGTACTGGGCACCTGGCACTTGACTGGAAGAGAAAGTTCGGTGGTCCTCAGAAAAACAGTGATACAGTTTGGCATTCGGGTAAAGCTGCTTCTCCTCACTGATTTTGCCATGTCAAGGAAAACGTGGTGTCAGTGAGGGTGGGGACAGTCTCCTTGGTTGCCATTTTAGTTGATTTTTCCAAACTCTTGAGGTCTTTCAGACATTAAGCAATATTCTACACACAATCCCAGATATCCTATTTACCCAATACATTTTCTACACTATTCTGTTGGTTAAGGTTCTTTGGATTTTAATTAACAGAATCTAATTATAGCTCTTTAACTAAAAAGGATATTTGGATACTGGGGCACTTCACAGAAACCAAGAAGGAATGACATATCAGAAATTAAGACAATTCTAGGGTCCTCATGAATCTACTCCCTAGAGCACTGCCATTAACAGGGCCCACCTACCAACCTGTCCTGGTCCCTATATCTTCCATTTCAAATATTCAAATATTCTGGAGAAGCGTGTCTCATTTGCCTAGCTTTGGTTATAGGTTTTTCTCTAGGCTATTCAGTGAATTTATTTAGGGAGAAGGTTGAGTATTGCAAAAATTATTACTAAGAGCTTATTCTTATGGAAAGAGTGGCCAGTTTCCAGTAGGTACGCCTTCCACAGACCTCGTAGCCTCTGATCTGAAGTCTCAAATGAGCCATTGTTTTCAGATAATATTATTAGGATTGCATCTGAGCCTAAGAAATTTAGAAACTCTTCCACCAAAGGGGTTATAAAGTCTTATTGGTATACCAACAGTAAGGCTAGGTTTTGAAAATAAAAGTAGTCTTGTTTTTACAAAAAGGGAACCAAATGTCACAGTAAAGTAAGGATTTAAAAATAAAAACTTATTTTCTCACTGTTATTAAAATATTCAACAAATACAAAAAAAAAAAGTCACTTCAACATTTGCCATATTTAAGCAAATAAAAATACCGATGCCCTATTAAATTTGAATTTCAGGCAAACAACAACTAATTTTGAGTATAAGTATATTCCATGCAATATTTATGACTTAGTTCTGTTTGTTGCTCCTGAAACTACTGTGAGGAGTTCTTTGTCCCAAAGCACTTACTTATAGGACATCCTTTCCAAAAATAAGTATTTGTTGTGTATCTGAAATTTAAAGTTAATGGCATCCTGTATTTTATCTGACAACCGGAAGTCAGTATCCCACCCAATGACTTTGGTACTTTTTTTCAAGAATACCTACAGTATTGAGACAAGGTGGCAGGAGATTCTCACCACTTTTAAAGCAGTCGGTGTAGACTTCACTGGCTTTTAAAAGAGTCGTTCCTCCCGATAGTTGCCACCCAGTGATTCTAATGCCAGCCTAGAAGATTTCTTATTTTTGACCTCACAAACTGTCTGTATGTTTAAAAATAACTGTCATATGCCCAAGTCTCTTTTTCCCCAGCTAGACATAGCTGGCTCTTCTGTGACAGGGTTCGAAGTCCTCTTACGGCAATTAACACAACCCATTTTGTTTATATGCCCCATCGCCACATACCCTCTCCACTGCCTTTCCCACAGAGCTC